GGCAGAATTTGACCTGTACTAAAGGAGTAAACAAACTTGAATGACAGACAAAGGCGTACAAAGTCGCAATGTGCTAATGAATGACGAAATATAGCTCAACAGAAATCTTTATTAGCCTTTGGAAGGAAGATGAACAACAACAATTGTGCACAACAACTCAGCTCATACACCGGCAAACGACAAGATGTCGCGATTAATTCAAACACAACAATCAACAAATAAAACAAACATGGATGTTCAGCAACGCCTACACGAAATGAGACCGAATACATACTTTATACAGTAACAGCAGCATACTGTAACTCGTCGCTGTTCTCGTAGTCGGCCATGTCCAATGCAACTTCGCAGCTTTCGCGAACAACGCGCTAAAAAAATTGAGACTCTTTTGTAATAGCATAACCATAAGCACATCTACAAAGAGTGGTGAAACTATTACCTCTTTGTCCTTCAAATATTCTTGTAAAATTGCAGTACACTCATTAGTGGCAATAGCACCGAGGGCTTCTGCGCACTCGTGGCGTACCATGTGATTCTGAAACAATGCATCAACTCAATGTAAAATGTTTATGACAGGTGATACCTCTGACAGCAATGTAAGACGATCTTTCAGCTCCTTGATCGCCACAGGAGACTGTGCTTGTCCCAGAACGTATGCTACCTCATGTCGGAATAAAGCACTATCTTCGCAATAAAGACCTGAAGGAAGTTCAGAATATCAAGTAATAAAACAAAGGTAACAGAGGGGGCACACGACTAAACTGACTGTACTATGCAGTACGCTACCTTGAGCAAGTGCTTTGATGGAAGCATCTGTATTGATATTACGTAGTTTAAACATGGCCGCATAACGATCCCATAACGGTTTCTTAGGATCCACAAGAATTGCTCCTAGCTCTTCAACATCATCCGACGAAGCAGCAGCTGTGGGATCTGAATGCACATCAACTGCTTGAGATACTGTATGATAGATATTGCGGTAGCAAATGTAATTTAATGCCGAGCCATGGCGCACAAATGGCTAGTTAGCCCACACTTCGGTATACTCTAACGGCGCCATATAATATAAAGCTCCTAATGCCTCCAAAAACAGATGCTGATGAGAAAAAGCGGAAGCCAATGA